GTCAATGTTCCATTGCCTATTATGTCAAAATTATACATTTATACTTGTGAATTGTGATACAATGTTCTTAAGCTCTAGTGAAAAGCTTCTGTTTTTTCTATTTATAATTTATTTATAATTACCTGGAATGTGCACATAATCCACAGTTTTTTTAACATTGAAAAGTTCTAGAAACAATATGTATATTCATGGGTGTCCATTGGATTTTAAGTGAGATGATGTATGACAGCCAGGAAAGGAAATTTGAATTTTGGGGTATGAAGTACCGAATCACTCTGATACAGTCATGTTTTGCGCACAAAGTATGTTATTATAGGAGTGAAATTTTTTGTTGAAGTTGTTAATAAACAAAGTATATTTATTTTCTTGTTTAATTCAATGCAGGATTACACAATTTTGGTAATGCGTAAGGCAATGTTTAGACGAGAAGATGCAGTTCGTCTGGCAGCAACTTCTGCTGTTATTGATCTGATTGTTGCAGAAAAACAATCCAAGAGAGATGACCCATTATCTTTTCAAGAGTCATCTAGCCAAGCTAGTAGCAGCCAGCAATCTGAGATACGCTACAGCATGGGGGGAGGCCTCTTTCAAGAGCTTAGTGGTTTGCTACAGAGATGTCTTTATCAGCAGGTTTTGTGTTCATCTTGATAATGTTATTCTCTTTTAGTTTGAAGAATGCCTATGAATATAATTGGGTCATGGTTTTAGGCAAATGTCAAGGAAGTCCTGTATCATGGACTTGTGAAGCTTGTGCTGGTGGACCCGTCAAGTGGGAGGGCTGTCTTTGATTTTCTGTTGCCTCACTTCCTCCAGTTCTTTAAGGAGGTAAATGCAGATGCTTGTGATTGCTTGTTTTAAGAAGCTTTATGTTGTTTCTGAATTCCAAGTTTTGATCCATTTTTAGGAATCAACATAGCTTATCATGTCAAATTTCATGGGAAGAAACTGAAACCTTGCTTAATCTAAATTCCACGGTTAACATCGAAGCACTATGTTGGCAGGATGAAGACATTCAACTACAAATTAACTGCTGCGTCAAATCAGAGAGTGGCAAGGCTTATATTGAAGAGCCTTTACATTGTCTTCTATCTTGTATCTCTTGGATGCTACTTCTACAACCTCATGGTAAAACTGAGCAAGCCTTGGAATCGTCATGGGCATGTTTAGGTTTCTCCCTTTCACAAGAAAACGAGGTATCTGATTGCTCGTAGTAATGAACAAAACTCATGACGCTATAGATAACATATGGTTTCTGGTTTCTTTCTTGTTCTTATTTATTTATTTGATACAATATGATTTCTTGTTTTGATGAAAAAAAATAAGATAATTTATATATTTTTTCTTACAATCTCAATATGAAACCACTGACAGGCAGGAAGAAATTCGTCTGTTGACTCCTTCCATACTGCTTTTTTGAAGATACGGAAGTCTCTGAGAAATCAGAAATTGGAAGGTTTGCAGAAATACTTTATTAACCTATGCCATATCTTCCCTCCCTTGTTTTCTCTTGAGGTTGTGTGAAGTATCATTAGTCTATCTTTTTCAAATTTGGGGGTATGCATACTTTGTAATGTTTCAAAAGACTGGTTTTTGGGGAATTTGCGCTTGGTGAAACATTAAGCAAAAAGAAACGAAAAGTTTATTGTGCTTTGTTAGACACATATTGTCTGTATCCTAGCTGAGTTCTTTAAATTTTCTCTTATTTATCCGGATGGTTTTGAAGTGAAAATTAAAAGGAGATTAACTGAAGCATTAGTTTACCTCTATTTGATTATGTGGTATTGGAGAAAGAATAAGGTCTCTCTTCAACACCCAGGCTGATTTTTTTTTTAATTAAAAATAATAATATTTTGAGTCAGAGTGGAAACTACTTAAGTCCCTTAAGAAGGGGTGAACTAAGCATTAATTGATCATTCCTATTTAAGGGGCAGATCCTCCTTAACAGTTAGTTTATTTTTGTGTCAGATCAGGCATCTTTGGTCAAACTCAGGATCCAGGATCTGCATCTGTTGAAGAGGACAAAAGAAAATGCTGCGCTTTGGTTTTATCAGGAATTATTGAAGTAGTCTTGAATTCTATTGCTACTGAGTTGGAAAAAGCAACAGACAGAAAGAAATTGGATCTGGAAAAGGAGCTTATTGAGTTTGTTGACCTTCATGATTCATTGGATAAGGATACAGGTTTCTCCAGGCAGAGTACAGTTATCAGAAGAGGAAATCCTCGCACTTCCGCTCATGATGTACCAAACAACATGGAGTCAGGCCACTCAAAAGTGACACAAGGACGAATTTCTTTCTTTGCAACTTCGAGTATATATCAGATATTGCAAACAGTATTGAAACTACTCAACACTGATAATCCTAATCACGTTGCAGCTTCCCAAAACCATAGCCAGCTTACTTCCAAGACATCAAAATGCTGCTCTAAGATGATTTGTTTTGTCTTGAATGCGTCCCTTAGTCATATAAAATCTTCCTCTGTTCTGCAAAATGACGATCCATTGAGAACTTTGATCTATGGAGAAATTAAAGTGCTAGGCCCCCCCTTGTTGAAATTGATATTTTTGCTTACATCAGGGCCAAAGATGGTGTCAAATCAAAACAAAACAGAAGCTAAGGGAAAGAAAGATGTTCAAGAACAAAAGGAACATCTTCATCTAGCCTTGATTTGCTTGAAGGAATTGATAATGATTTGCTCACGGACTTCACACTTGACTGGTTTGCTTGAAGATATGGTTTCAATCTCCACTTTTCAGCATGCTGGTTCGGATAATGAAAGTGAAACAATCTCCATAATCGAAGATCAACATACAAGAAGCAAAGAACTGTTCATTGTAAAAACATTGAAGCCTCTATTTTCTGAGCTTCGTGCGCTTTCATTTTTTAGTGAAGTTGAGGTAACCAGCATCTATGACCTTGCTGATTTATGTCTTCCTTTTTTTTTAATTTTCCTTCTAAAAGAGATTTTTCGATTTCTCAAAAGAACTACTTTTTCTTTCAGACTATTTGTGACATGATATTGATCATTGGGGGCAAATTGCCAAGCAAATTAAGTAACTCCCATGGAGCTTGGGCTATTAGCGTTTGCAAGAGCAATGAAATATTAAACTCAAAGTTTGCTAAAAGTGTTGTGACACTGGCTTTATGCTTATGCTCACCTCCAAATGATTTAATAATATGTCAAGATATGGCTGGAGCGCTGTTAAAGGTTATTGGATCAGAGGGAAATGTCCCAGTGAAGGTGTCTGAAGTGTACCCCCTCGTAAACCATCTGACAAGTCCCACAATAAATTCTTGTATCCTGCACATAATTGAAGCAGTTATAGTTGATATGGATTGGGCCATCAAAAAGTTGAAGACATTCTCTTTAGTCTCTCAAAAAAGCATTCATCTTAGTCAGAACATCGAGCAATCTCCGGTGTTGGCACTTGAGGAAAATCTTTACACTAGGGCAGAAGCAGTGGTGAAAGTACTATCATCCTTTGCTTCAATGAGCCTCAACGGTACGTGTGCAGTTTGTACTAAGAAATGAAATTAAAGTAGGTCACTCCTGTTTATGCATTTTTGCTTTGAAATTGTGCAGATACTCAAGCTGAGTTTTTGCTGCGATTTTGTGCAAGGTTTTACAAGCATTTAGCTCAAATGTCAAAGCTTAGGATTGCTCCTAAAGGTTGCAAACAGATTTTTCCTAGCCTTAAGTTTCAGAAGCTTGTGGAGGTAACCTGCAAGCAGCTCACGAATCCTCTATATGACTTTGTGGCAATTATGCAAGGGGTATGATAATAGTTCCCAGGGCCTTTTTTTCCCATTATCTCATTGCACTATCAAATGTTTGCTCAATTGTAAAGGTTTACCTGATGATGGTGTTCCATTTCATCATACTTGTGTTGCAGAAACATCAAGAAAATGCTAATACAAAGGGAATGATCAACAAAATAAAGAGGGAGAACAGATGCATCCCGGAACTGATATTTCAAATAGAAGATTATGAAAAGTATCTCATCCAGCTTAGCAAAGTGTGCAAAGTAAATTTATTAAGGCACGCGAAGCGTAGTACTGCGCGGGATTTCAGAATAATCCCAAACAACATTAACAGGGAAGAAGATCCTCCAGGTCAAGAACCAAACCAGGACAATTCCAATGCAGTTGAAAATGAGTCAGGTGAGGATCTTGGTGACAATGAAAGAGATGATGATGGGTCAGAGCATATTTTATCACCAGAAGACAATAGTCCTCTGGTTGCAGGGGACTCTGGCTCTGATAATGAAGATGGAGATGGCCTTCCTAGTGCCAAGAGGTTGAAGAGAAGCAACAGAGTTGTGCAGGACTCTGATGATGAAGCCTAAAACAAAATGGATGGAGCTGATAAATGGTATATACACTATTAGTAATTATGTTATACAGGAAATTCATAGTTGTCAGTTGGCCATCTTTCAATTTTGATACTTATGTTTTCGGCCAACTCAGTTTTGATATTTTGCCTACTACTTTGATAGAATTTTAAGCAAAAGTAGTGATTTGCTTGTTACAAATTAGTGATCTTTATGCTCTCATTTTAATTTCTCGTACTGTTCATAAATGTATAAAAAATAGTTACTTTAAATTAGTCTAATTAGAATTCGAATTTAAGTGCAAAGAAGTGGACTCCTGGTATGACTAACTCGCCTAATCCATGTATTCGCTCGAAAGAGGCCTAATGGTATGTACCATTTGAATGATGAGTTGGAGCTGAAAGTACAAAAGGGTAGAAACACAGCCATCATTACACAAAAAATGAAATTATTAAATTTGGTCGGACGTCCAAAAGGATTTAAATTCCAGAAAGGGGCAAAACGACACCGTCACGTCCCATTCACACAACTTACCTAGCCGTAAAACTCGTTGATCTTCAGGCATATCATGGATCGGGGAACCATTTTCCTGTTTCCGTACGCGGTAAAAACCCACCAAACTCAAAACGCAGTAAAAAAGAAAAAGAAAAGAAAGAGCCCCTAACCCAACAAAGTAAAAGAAGGCATCTCCATAATTTCACACTTTCATTCCACTCATTACAGTCAGAGTCAGTCACAGGCTCGCAGAGAGAGAGAGAGAGAGAGAGAGCAGAGAAAGGGTGGATGTGGAGGGTGTTCTTCTTCTCTCTGCTGAAAAGAACAAGTCTCGTCCTGCTTTTGCAAGCAAACCTCTGATTTATTACCAAATCAGAACCAGACACAGTCAGACTTTCTCTCACTTTTGAAAGCAAAGCAAAGCGCAGAAGAAAAAGAGCACAAAATGAGTGAAGACGCCAAGAGAAGCGTCCCCGGAGCTCTGTCGGCAAAGCCTAATTCCGATGACCGGAAACCCTCGCCGGCGGTCACCACAGCCACCGGCAAGCGTGTCATCATCAAGAGCGCCGACATGTTCCAGGATATGCAGAAGGAGGCTGTCGACATCGCCATCGGCGTTAGCTCCTCTCTTTCTCTCTATATCTTGTTTTTTTTATTATTATTATTATTTTTTAACTTTCTCATTAAGAATCTTTGGGTTTAATTTACAAATGGGTTTTTTTGGGAAAACGAAAGTATTGAATTTCTGGGTTTTATTCAGGCATTTGAGAAGCACAGCGTCGAGAAGGACGTTGCGGAGTATATTAAGAAGGAGTTCGATAAGAGGCATGGACCCACTTGGCATTGCATCGTCGGTCGTAATTTTGGTAACCCGTTCAATTTCTCTCTTTCCTTTTCTGGGTATTCTTTTGCTTTATTCTTAGGGAGTTTCACTAAAACACCCAAAATGGGGGTTGAAATTATAAAAAAACCCAAGCACTATTTAAACATATAAACACACCCAAAACCCATCATTACACACATTCAAAACCCATTTATAAACAAACCCAAAAAGTTGACTTTGGGGTTGATTTTGGGTGTGTTTCTATGTTTAAATAGTGCTTGGATTTTTTTATAAATACATGTCTAGGATTGGGTTTATTTATAAATTTGTATTATTGTTATTAGGGTGTTTTGTTCAGATTTAACATTTCAGAATTTTGGGTGATAATGAACAAATCTAATGCATGGTTTTGTGCTTTTAGTTGCTATTGGGTTTTTTCTAGTTTGATGAGGATTGGTTGTGCTGTTTGAAATGAAATAGATTTAAAACATTGTAGCTCTCTCAGATTAAGAAATTCTCAGTAGAATGGCTGAAAAACTTTGATAATATGTGTTACTTTTTTTGTTGATATGGAAGGGTACTTAAACTCGAGAGTGGAAAACCTGATGACCAATGTTTATTCTTCAATGGATCCTGATTTTGGAGGGATCTTTGTTATTATTCTTTCTTCAACCTTTAGAAAATTAGATATTCAGCTGCGGTTGAATGGTTGAAAGGGTTTTGTAAGTAATAGAAAATTGGGGATTCAGTCTTGTATATAATCTCTATGCAATCTAAATCATGTTTGGCAATGATTGAAATTAAGTTGTCGGTTTGGCTTGCTCATTGGTTGTGTACTTGATGTTCTAGGTTGAGCCTAATATGCTATGGCTAGATCAATGTCTTATTGATGCCTTAGGAGGAGGCACATAACTAAATGTGCTTGGGGTTTGGCTTCTGTACTTTGTGCGACAACATGCATCCCTAAATGCTTATCTGGTTATTTGGAGGACAGAGATTGTAGGTGGTTATCTGGAAAAAGGTTTAGGAGAGATGTTTGAGTAGTTCACTTAACACAGCTTGGGTTGAGAAAAATTTATTCATAGCCCATCCATCAAAAAAGTTTGTGCTTGTGATGTATTACGAGGCAAGAGGCAGCCCATCGAGGCGTCGATTTGCTTACAGTGAATGTCCGTGTATGCCATATTGTTTTGCTCTACTTCTGCATATGGCATGATATTTGATTCATGTAAATTCTATGTGTTTTCCTCTGTTTACATTTGCACATGCAATGGTTTGAGATTGGTGTAGAATTCAAAATCAGTCCTCGGTTTTAACAAAGTGTCCGTATTTCCTGTTTAGTAGTATTAGTTTGTACCAATTCTATTGAGAGGAAACAGTTTCTGGGATTCCCATGGAGAACCAGAGTGTCATTTTGTTTAGTTTCTATTCAACCAAGTTGTCAGCTTCATGTAGTTGTAATAAAAACACGAGGCACCACCTAGGTTGAATGGTTCGTCATTGTCATGTGAATCTCCTATTTTCTTCCACAAGTACCCTTTTGGTTAATTATGAATCTCACAAGCATTGACATTGCTGCTTCAGAGTTCAGAGTGTTCACACTTACATTTGGTTGTTGGGTCTAACGTAGCTGCGACCTTTTCTTTTCAACGTATTCCTGACATATGCATGGAATAGCCTGTGTAGCAGGCAAAGGCTTGTGTATAATGCCTTCGATGATCTTTGATATGGCATCCAGCTTCTGTTGAAACAAGGACTACCAAGGGCAATTGCTGCTAATTTTTCGTGCTCCATTCAGAATGCAATATATAGAAATTGTCTGTAATTTGGGATTTTCGGAATCCCTTTTGTTTTCCTTGCTTAATTTGAATCCAGAGATTATATCATTTAACATAGAGTTGTTTTTATCTTTCTTCCTTAGTAGTAATCTTTAGATTGTTCTTTGTATACCAAATTACAAAAAATTTGTAACATAGAATAAGAATCGTTCACAATTATGATTTCGTGTTTCTTTGTGCAGGTTCATATGTGACTCATGAAACAAACCACTTTGTTTACTTCTACTTGGATCAGAAAGCAGTTTTGCTATTTAAATCCGGTTGAACACGGTTGTCATGTTGGCAAAGATGGAGATGAAAAGAATGACGAGCCTGAAATTGTGATGCCATAAGTTGCACCTGTATGTATTAGTTGAAATCTGCTAGCTTGCAAACCGCTTGCTTAACATTTTCGTGTGCTTAACTTGTATATCTAATATCACTTCTACGGGCTGTGAACCTTGGATATGAATTTCAGTCTTTCAAATGAATTGTTTCTCTAAACTTGGCTCTTTATCAGAAAGCTCTCATTTTTCTTTGTTGGGTGAAGTGAAAATATGGAACTTGTATGGGGATTTCTGAACTTCACATCACAGTAACTTAATTTGTACCATTCTCTTCTGGTTTAGAAGAATGGTTTTTACTACGAACTCACCAAACATCAGAAAAGTTGATACTTTTTCTTTTCCTTGATTGGATGTAGACATGAATTTAAAACCCAATGGTTTCTCTAACTCTAATTATTGATTCAATTTCATGCTGTGAACTGATTATTTTCCTACTGAACAAACAAGGAACAAGGAAAGCTATACTATTTCAATGAACGTACAAAATCAAGGGGAGATACTCTTATTGGTTTAAGAATGATTGAATTAGTGGTTGTAAATTACACATAGTTTATTAGCTAGTTAATAGCATATATTCCTTTGAAGTCAAGCAACAAACCTTTGCCATGAAGCCCATGGCTAAGCTAAAGTCCAATAGTTTCAAATAGGTTTAAAATTTCAGTTGCCTTTAAATAAAGTCACTCCCAGCCAACATAAGAATCTCCTCTCTTTTTTCGGACGCATGGACTTAGTCAAGTTGGTTAGAGCGGATATGCTCTCCGCTTGCACCTGAGTTTAAATCTCCCTCCATCTAATTTAGATTAGATTAAATTAAGAATCTCTTCTTTGAGTAATATGATTAGATTGAAATCTCTTTTAAACAACTAATAGATAAACTAGCACTTTCAATTCAATAGGCTTTTGGGGGGGCAACTATTGATAATTATTCTTTTTTAATGAAGGAAACGAATCTTGCATGGCAACTCCACTCAGAGCTAGCTCACTCTTCAATCGGCTATATCTGTCTGCCCAAGAATCTTTATAATGTTATTGGCAATTCTAATCCAAGAATTTTTATCATGTCTAGCCGCCGGCAAGTTGATCGGCTCGAATGATGCAAGTCTAATGTTTATTTGAGGAACAGAATCAAGAAGATTATTATATTTAATCTCTTTTACAAAAAGTTTGTAGAATTCTATATATTGAGTTTGGCTACTCTGTCATATTTTATATAAACTTCTACAGAAGCCTCTCATTTTCTCTCTGTCAATGTCAAGTCTGCGAAAATCAGAATTCACAGTGGTCTTGAAGCTATTAAAAATGGTTTTCCTCTGGCAGCAGCAAGGTTAAAGACCTAAAATTGCAGTGTCGTTTTGCAGGGAGGGCTTATTGAAAATATATAGGAGGGAGGGAGGGCATAAAGACAAATAAGTGGCAAATCCTATTTATTCCAATTAGCATTGCCCAAATTCCAATCTCTCTTTCCTTCTTGTAGTGCTCTTTCTAGGGTTCCAAGTTCCTACTTTCAAGACTGCATGAGCAGATAAAAAAGCATACAGATTCCATTCCGAGGTCCTAATTCCTGTGCTTGTTTTTTTTAATCCATGTTCATTCACAGAAGAAAAGTAAAAGAAATATAAAAAGAGATTCACACCCACTATTTTACCCAAATGATTGATTCGTACCAGAAACCCTTTTCCTTGTTTTGTATCTTTCTTTATGGAACTGTTTCCCAATGTCAATTTGTGTAGACATGATGTTTCAACTTCCCATCATGCATGCATCTAGCTTGCCTCACCTAAACCACCATACAAAAATTACTCGAGTGCTTGCAGATGAAGCCATGGCAGCACTATATATCATTGGATTGTGCAGGAAAAATTATTGTATCCTTTCTCCCATAATATGCACGTAAAGTTCATTATTATGCGACCTGATCTGCCTTGGTATGGTAGGTACCACGTGTATTGTTCGATGAAAGTTACATATAATTGATACATATAAAAGACAAAATATTTTCCCTAATACGATACTGATAAATGCTAATAAAATATTGTCCATTTACGTCGTTAGAGGAAAGTTACATATAATCAGTGCATACGAAACTTTACCTAAGCCAACTGATTACAATAAACTTTTCCTTAATGCAACACCGATAAACGGTAACAATCAACTTTTTTTCTAAATTGTCAGAGAAAAGTTACATATAATCGAAACATACATAATCTTCCCCTAATACAATACCGACAACAATCCACTTTTTTTATACATCGTCGGAGATAAGTTACTTATAATTGACACATGCAAACCCTTCCTCTAATGCGACATAAATAAATGATAAAATTTTCTTCTACATTGTCAGAGAAAAATTACTAATATTCGATGCAAACAAAATTTTTCTCGAATGCGACACTAAGAAAACAATATATTTTTTATTCTGCATTGTCAGAGAAAAATTACGTCTAACCGGTGCGTTCAAAACAGTGCCCGTAATGCGACATGGATCAACGGTGACAGTCAGCATTCCTTGGCAAAAAATTTGCAACCCTTGTGATATTTATCCTTGGATGTTTTCTACTTGATGAAACATTTTACCTTCTCTTTGTTTGGCTTTTCCTTCCCCATTTCTTTTAATGATCAAAGAACCCAAGACCATCCACCGTCCTTGGCAAATTATTGGACAGCCTATCTTTGTCAAATGTAAGAATGGGAACCCATGAAATTAAAACGGTAGCTAAAGGATCAAAATCACACTCATTTCAAGCACTAAATGTATTGTATTCAATGTTGCAAATTGCAATCAAATCAAGAGGGGCTTAGATTTAAGATGCATAAAAGGGAGGGCCTATAAATTAAACCAGATAATTGCAAGGGGTTGAAAGAAATATATTCAATCTCATTGTTCCTTCCTTGGTGGCAGTAATCTTTTTTTCTTATTGGGACCATGACATTGTTCTCCAAGTACTAATTCTGCACTATGCTGTCCACCAATATATACTATTGTCCCCTCACTCAGTGCGCAATTTAGACATTCCCTCTACGATTCCACTAAAAATGCGCATCGGATCAGAAAAAGAAACAACAGAGATTTTCCATTGTTGTCATCGTGTCAAAGAAAAGAACACAAGTAAAAAGTTAACCTTCATGCTCCATCTCATGAGCAGTATTACCACACTCAAAAAATTTATAAAATCATCAATGCACAATAACAAAATGCCATTAATGCCCTCTTAACTGTCACAAAATCCCTCCACTGTCCTCAATGGTTTCTGCTCTAAACAATGGCGGAGCAACCAAAACCGTGGGCTATTACAGATAAAATGTTTGGGGGCAAAACAGGTTGGATCCTTTTGGCCTCTTGGCAGGAAGCAAGCACCCAAAAAGACAGGACAAAGAACATCATAGTCATTTCGAAGTAAACCAAAGGGTAAAACTGAAAATACAACTCAAAGAAACCAATTCTTGGTTTCCAACTGGTTCTCTCTCAGTCTCAGTAGGCAAAACCACTGCCTCGGTTTCTGGTTCCTTTCCTTTGATTGGAGGCAGCAGATGAAGAAGAAGATGATGAGGAAGCCGAAGTAGGTTTCATGGCAGCCATTGAACACTGCTTCTCTTGGCGAAGACTCTCTTCCTCGTCCATGAAAATCTGTCTGTACCTGCACTCCACGCTGCAGAAGCCCCTATCACCCCTGCATTTTCAAAACCAAATGAAAAAAACCCAAATCAAGATCTTCACTTTTGTCTCCAATACCGCCATGCAATGATGCAAAACCAAAAACAACATCTGGGTTTTTTAAGAAACGGTAAAATCGGAGGTGGATTGTGCTTATTTTAACAAAAAAAGTGTGGTTTTTTGTATTTATTTATTTATTTTTGGTTGTGGGCAGACTTACTTGTACATGTAGATGTCTTTGCCAGGCAAGAGTTTCTGTCTGCACAAAAAACATTGGTCAAGAAAAGTTGGGGCCAAGAAGGGTGTCTGTGGAGAAAAGAGAAGATTTTTGTGGCTTTGTGAAGGGTTTGAAGGAGAAGGCAAAAAAGAAGAAGAAGATGAAGGCTTGTTGGTGACAACCATGGTGGTTTTGTTAATCACTTGTGGGATATTTTTGCCCACACCACCACTTCCCTTTTGACCTTCCAATACTATGCTAAGTCCTACCATATCTCATTCTCTATGTGTGCCTGCTTCAACACACACACAAAAAAACACTCTTTGAACCTCTTTCTCTGTAAATTTGGTGATGGGAGAAAGGGAGAGAGGCTTCTGGAGGATGAAAAATTTGAGGAAAATAAATAGAGCAGAAAGACAAGGGATTGGTGGGTCCCCTAACAGCTATGGAGCAGTAACAAGGACGATTTAGCGTAGCCATTGATTTGACTCCTTGTGCTGGTTAACTGCCACATACCCCCCTCTCTAGTTCCCAATTCTTTTTTTTTCTTTTTTTTTGTCCATTCTTTTTTTGGTGGTTTTTTTTTCTTTTCTCTTGGGCTATTTTTGTTTTTGTTTTGTCTGCTTATGTTTACGTTTTAAATGTGATTGCTTGCATAAAACTCGTCTCATAATTATTATTATTATGGTCAGAAGTGAAAACGAAAAAACAAAAAAACCCAGTCGCATTCGAACAAAAGCCAGAAATGGGTCATGTGATCAGTTGCTCTATTCTGTGGAGGGTTGCATGGGTTGTATGATTTATACATGAACTGAAGACTGACAGAAAAGCATGCTTTGCTTTTGTCTATATGCCTAATTGCCAAAACACACTAACAACAAACCTTTGAGTTTATTACACACCTTCTAATAATTTTGTGTGCTATATTCTACAAATTCTTTCTTGGTTTCTTCTGTCTTTTTTCATAACGAAAGGAAGATTATTGTTTACTTAATTCATTAATCTATATTAATGCCCTAATAGATTATGGTAAACATTGTTGGTGAGGATGATTGGACATTCTTTTGAAAGTTCTATCTCAACCCACCCTGGGTTTTTTTTAATTTATTTTCCTTTTTCTTGACCAATGGAAGTACAAATTTCTAACCCAATCCGAACCCACTAACAGATAGGGTGGGGTTTACTAATTGCTTTCCTAAAAGGTCTTCAATAGTGTTATATAGACTATCTAAATGCTTCCTAATCCAACTTTAAAATATATAAACAGGACATTCATTGCTTTTGTTTTATGCACAATCAA